TAATGTCTTAACATTTTTAGTTGCAATTTTAATATGAGAATAGTTAGCAAAGACTTTAGTTAATTTGTTTGTTAATGTTGGTATTATAAGTTTTTGTAAGTTTTTATATAGTTTTATACAATGTTTTTCTTAATTCTAATTTCATTGTATTTACCATAACATATTTTAGCATATCCTGATGAAGCAAATAAATTTTGCGAAAGCTTGATTTAAGAACAAAGAGTTTTACTTATCCTGCCCTACTTAAATGACTGCATCCTCAAAATAAAACTTTAGTTTACATAACGTGTCAGTCAATAATACCTAACTACTTTATATATATATATATATATATATATATATATATATATATATATATATATATATATATATTTTAAGACAGAAGTGGAAAAGAAGCCACACGTTGGGTCTAGCCAATTGAAACCTCAATACTCCGGGAGTATTGGATTTTAGGAAGTGTAGAACTTCCAAATTTCAGAAGAACTGAAAGAGAAGTGATGAAAAAAAAAATACTAAAAATAGGGCTAAGCTCAGAGGAACAAATTTAAATGGCCAAAGAGACACTAAATCTCAAGTGAGTGTTCGGGCTAGCTTCAATGCACTGGATTGTGGCTTTAAAGATATAAACAACAATAACAAGAGATAATGAGCTAATGAGACAAGAAAGAAATGAGACCTGGTAATATCAAACGTGATACAACTGAAGAAGGTCACTGGGAATAAATTTATAGAAAGAGAACAATAAGAAGAGAAAAGAAGGGCGCCAACTCAACGATAGTTGAGATTTTGAAGTAACAAATGAATCTGGAGATAATACTCTGAAATACAAAAATACTAAATAATAATCTTGTTTTGCTATGTTATATACTGGTTAGTAGAACTGAAATAAAACTCAAAATAGCAACAATAAATATATTTATAAAAAATGTATATAGGTATATGTGTATAAACAATTTACATATAATGCAAAGCCAAATAACAGTGGTAGTGGATGGTGTACAGATACAATGGGACCTAATAGCCCCTCAACAAACGAATAGTCACTACCACTGGCCAAATAAAATATGAAATATTAGTATAAACCAAGAATAGTCCGTAGGGTAGCCTAAGTCTTAACACTAAGGTTAGTAATTTAGATTTAAATAGTTCTACTAAAATGAGAAATAATTACCGTATTGTACAGATATCAACAATGATAACTCTGTTACAATTATATTATCTCAAAAGTGAGTTCTCAATACTCATTATATATATTTAAAAAAAAACCACATTAAATTTATGTCCCTCTCTCAATATCAAATTGTATTATATTAACAAAAATATTATATCAAAAAAAAAGTGAGTTTGGTCAGACTCTGTATATCCTATTTAAAAACCCAATAAAAACATGTAATGTATTTTCTTCTCCCCAATATTTTAGAATTAGATTATATCAAAAATTAAATTATCACAAAGGTATTCACCTTATCATATGCATATGATGAGTTAACAGTAAATAGATAGTAATACAAAAAGTCAAATAGTTAAACAACTTATCTTTACAGCACTATAAGTCCATAGGAAAAACTCCTCTTGGCACGGCTACATCAGTTTATGGCTGTAAAGACGAATCCTGGGCACAAAAGCCACAACCAGTCACTGGTCTCTGGGTGACAGCAAAATCCACGGGTTACATACACAAATTGCTAACTATCTAAGGATTCAAAGTTACTTCAATGAACTTAAATTAATATTTTCACGTGACGGAATATGGAGTCGCAGCACGCAAAAAAAATCTTCCTTTTATGTGGAACTCTTTAGATTATTGATTTTAAAAATTTACTTATTATTATTACTAAGATATGTATTTTATTTATGAATTAATTTATTCTTCCCCAAATTATCTTCCTTGCTCCAATTCCGTCACTTTGAAGGTGAAAAATTTCACCGGTTGACGTGGCTGCGTTGAGTTCTGACCAAAACTGAAAACTCCTTTCGCACAACCTCGATCTTCCTTTCAAAGCGCTAATAGCGCGTGGGTGGGGAAATGTCGATTTAAAAATCGATCGTAGGCGGGTAATAAAAATTTCTTAAGGGGTTAATCAGTAGCGTAAACGCTACACTGTGAAATATCTATCCGCTAGCTCCAGCGGGCATCGATGATACAATACAATAGGCTGTACTGTAAACTATCGCGAAGCTTCATACTTCATACATATTTTTTTCTGTATTTTTAAAATCTAAATAATAAAAATAAATCAGAACTACTGCCGAAAATCACAATGGACGAAATAAAACTAGCCCTGAGAAAAGCTAAGAATAATTAATCTCCAGGCGAAGATTATGTAGTTACTGATGCAATCAAAATCGGAGGCACTTGCCTACTTAAGAAAATAAAAAACCTTTTTAACATTTGCCTTTTGGACAGTAATATATCCGACAAATGGCACAATGCTGAGGTAAACCAAGGATCAGAACTACTACCGGAAATCACAATGGACGAAATAAAACTAGCCCTAAGAAAAGCTAAGAATAATAAATCTCCAGGCGAAGATTGTGTAGTTATTGATGCAATCAAAATCGGAGGCACTTGCCTACTTAAGAAAATAAAAAACCTTTTTAACATGTGCCTTTTGGACAATAATATACCCGACAAATGGCACAATGCTGAGGTAATTCTATTGTACAAAAAAGGAGATCCCCATGAATTAGAAAACTACAGACCTATAAGTCTTCTTAGTTACCTATACAAACTCTTTACAAGAATAGTAACGAATCGTCTTGAGAAAAAACTTGATTTCTACCAGCCAATAGACAAAGCGGGATTTCGTACCGGATTTGTAACAAATAATCACCTACAGAGCATTAAAACGGTAATAGAAAAGACTATCGAATACAACTGACCACTCGTTCTGGCTTTTGTAGATTTCCATAAAACCTTTGACACAGTAGAATTTGACAAAATCCTGGAAGTAAATTTTGGCGTGTTATGTGATGGATCATTTACTGGATATGGTTATTCCTGAATTATCCTTATATATTCCTTTTGTAAAAAAACATGTGGATGACTTAATCCTTGCTATTCCTAGCAATGGATCCACAGAAATCTTAAATGTATTTAACAGTTATGACCATCTATTACAGTTCACAATCGAACATGAGGATGATCTATGCTCAGTCCCCTTTCTTGATACCCGGTTCATCAGAACCCAGAACAACTCCCTGATTATCGACTGTCATAGAAAACCCCATAGTTCTGGACGTTTCCTTAACTATTGGTCATACCATAGACATTCAATAAAAATTAATTTGCTCAAGCAAAGGAAGGCTAGAATCATAGCTATCAGTGATCCTTCTGTCCCTCAGAAGAACCTGAGAATCCTGTCTAACCTTTTCATCGACAATTCATACCCAAAACACCTAGTCACCAAGATTTTATTATATCAAAATTCTTTTGATAATATTAAAATTTTATGTAGTGAAAGTAATAAATTCAAAAGAATTTTTTTGGACATGGTTTGTATTAGCAAAAGTGATAATAATTTAAACAACAGGCCAGAAATTCAAAATCTAAGCAAAATTATATTATTTCTATGTAGTTTATATATGAAATCAGTAAAATATCACATTTTGATTTAATTTTCCATGTATTTGTTACACTTTTTCAGGCATCTATCAATGGTGATTAATGAGGGCTATATGCCTTATTATCATGAACTAAGAGGCGTCCGAATGACCCCTAATGGACTGTATTATTTTCACCAACGCTTGATTTTAATCACACCCCGTCCCGGGGTGGTAAGTTTGTCTAATCCTTTTTTAATATAGATTAGAATAAAAAGTTGAGTATAGTAAATACAGATTTTATTTCTGAATAAACGCTAATACTAAAAGCATGGACCTTATATAATTATTAATTTAGCACAATTTTGTACCGAAATATGAAGTCAGTAAACACTATATACCATGACGAAATAGTTTAGAATTTAAATAAAATGTCAAAATGTTTTTATATCTACCAAGTCCTGTCCTGAGCAATGTTAAAACTGGAATCCTGGCTGTCCTTACAGGTCCTTCTTTGTTGTTGAACCGTAATGTGGTTGTAGCACTTATAAACACTTGGATTTATTCTTGCATGAATACGGCACTCTTAGCTAATTTTTACACTATTACAAATACTTCAAATTATAATGTATGGTACTGGTACGAGTTACCATAGATGAACTATTACTATTCTCCACGCTACTTGCGAATACTTTCCAACTACTTGCGAACATATTTCATCGATAAAAAAACCATGATTCTCATTTCGAGATAACTAGCAACATTTGTACAACCCCCAACGATGAAAGGCACTTCTCGACTCTCAATCCGAATATTAGCGGAAACGACAACGTCTGTACGCCCCAAAAGTGGACAAGGTACTGACTGTTTAAAATCGATCCGATCTCCTTCCGATGCGTAATAATTCCCGTGATCTGTGACGTAGTTTGTTTACGTTTAATTTCTAAGAACATGGCTTTCGAAAAATAGCCTCTGTTGATATTTAGGCAGATTCTCGGAACATTCTCCCCCCGCTGTCTTGATTATCATCCGATAACACTTCTTCTAACGTAGCTGACAACCTTCTCTTCTGACTCACAACTCATGTAAGTATATTTGATTACAATATTAAAAAGGCAAACATATCTACTCTAATTATTATTGTGAATCGAGATATATTAATATTTTGCATTTGTATTTTTATGAAATTAATTGAAAAATCTTACCTAGCAGATATTATTTTTAAAATTATAACGTGATTACTGGTGGAGTGTTGTGAGACTCCCTCGCAAACTTTTACTCCCACTCCTCACCGTCGAAGTCAAACGTAATACGAACCTACTTAGACGCACATATTCATAACCTAAAACTATGTCGTCCATTTTTACGTTTAAATTTTCTGCGGTCGGTGTTGACAGCTCCTTGCCGGAGTGATTATATTGTAAATGCGTATTTTTAAATTATACATTCTGTTCCAGATATGATGGTTTTCTTCGTGTGGCATTAGCTGATCCTCAGCCTGACAGAAGGTGGCTACGAAGAGGATGGGTGACATTCAAACGTGATGCTAACATAAAAGAAATCTGTTGGAACTTAAACAATATACGTTTGAAAGAATGCGAATTGGGTGCCATCGTGAATAGAGATCTTAGTCGAAGAATTCGTCCAGTGAATGGAATCATAGCCCATAAACAGGTCGTGAGATCAGATATTAGAATATCTGCTAAGGTTGTTTTGCATTTAGACACCAAAGCTGGATTGTGGTTGGAGAATGAAGATAAGAAAATTAAGCCTCAACAAGTAAGATTTATGCTTAAAAAATACTTTTGTTCAAGTAAACCAGGGCCGCCGAAGATTTTGAATATGATAAAAAGTAAAAAAATAGTAACAGAATATAACCATTTGTAAATGTCCTGCTCACTGCATTTTATTTATTTAAAATATTTTTTTTTACTTATTTAGATTTAATATCGAAAAAACACCCTAATTTTCAATCGAAAATTTTATCAACAATCAATCAACATATTTGCTTGAAAAAGATTTTATATATATACATATATATATATATATATATTATATATATATATATATATATATATATATATATATATAGTGCTGAGTGCCTTACCACCCGCCTTCTTAACGTAAGAGATAGAAAACACAGTTACCTTGTGAAATAAAAAGAGATGAAACTCGTAGAGGTGGGAAATAATCGATAGAAACCTATAATTTACATTACATTATATTACCAATATCGATAGTCTCACACCTTTAGACGTTAGCTTCGAGCTAAATCACCTCGGTCATAATTATTATGTGTGACGTCGTATGTGTGACGTATTTCCATTTTTTAATGTCGCATAAAATAAAAACTGACCACAATAAAGCAAAAATGTGAATAAAACAATTTAATTAATAGTGATTATTTAATCTAAATTAATTTTATCTAAATTTTTATTTAAATTTAATCTAAAGTTTTAAATTATTAACCAAAAATAATTTCTAGTACGATTTTAGGAGTTTCATACTCTTGTCAGAGAACTACGAACACAGGTATCTAATTATGGTCGTTAGTTCTCTGCTCTTGTCACGGAATAATTATCAATCCATCGTGGATTAGTAGTAAGAATTCGACACTGCGGTGCAGATGATTAGAGTTCAAAACCTACATGTGTTTTTTTTTAATAATTTGAAATTATGCCGAGATCGTTTTGCTTTTGAAAATCGCTACTAATGAATGTTTTTTACTATAATATGTCTTAATTTATTCAAGTATTTATTCTATCAGAAATTATTAAAATAAAATATTTTTGAGGATATTCGTATAATTATGACTGAAGTCAAATAGCCACGTCTAACGTCTAAAGGTGTGAGACTATCGATGCAATGTAATGTAAATTACCGGTTTCTATCGATTATTTCCCACCTCTACGAGTTTCATCTCTTTTTATTTCACAAGGTAACTGTGTTTTTTATCTCTTACGTTAAAAAGCCGGGTGGTAAAGCACTCATCACTGTAATATATATATATATATATTATATATATATATATATATATATTATATATATATATGTATATATATATATATATATATATATATATATATATATTATATATATGATCTAATCTCCAATTAATCACAATAAATCAGCATTAATTAATTACAATCTCAGGCTATTTAACTTGTACTATTTACCTTTGATCGTGGATTCAAAATATTTTCCAATTGGCTTCCTAATTGGGATAGGTAATATGACCTGAATAAAATACATAGAATTTCAACTGAACTATATGTGAGATGTCCTTTATTTTAATGAAATTTTATATAACAATCAATCCTGTAATATTTGCAATATACTAACTTTAAATATATGAGAAGTTGTTTTCTATCATGGACCCAAATGTTATTTTACATTGATTTTTAATATGTGTTATAACTAAGCTCTTTTTATAATTTTTTTTAAATGATCGCAAAATTAACTGTCTCTATTATTTATTCAATTTATTTAATTAATAAATGAAAACCACACTCCTGCTCTAATGAAAATTGACTGACCTTTCTTTCTCTGCCGTTGCAATTCTATGGCCACGCCAAAAAAAAAACCTTTCTCTGCTTCTGCTCCTATTGTGGTCCAGATGACGTACACCTTTCTCCTATCTGTCCTTGTATCTGCAACCCAACAACTCGTGTTATTCTATGCAGCCTCCTTTTGAGCCAATCTCCGCGCCTGTTTATAACTCCAAATGTTTCCGGCTTCGTCTGATATTAATATTCTTATACCCTTTGGTTTTTCTATCTCTCTGTACCCCGTTCCTCACACTGGTCAGCTTTTACACAGCAAATAAACACACCCGGTAAATTACGTCTTCGGGACTTCAAACAAACACAAATCACAAAGCTCCTTCCTTCTTGGACGACGAAAACTGACTAACTAACTTTTTTCCTCTCTCCTATCTCATAGCCAAAACCACCACCTCCTTGCATTCAAAAATTGACCAATAAAAATCATCCACCTCTGTGACGTATATCGTTACCAACCAACTCTCTCTATAAAACGTCATTCGGGTAATTCCAGAAAACAACATTCTTTAATTATTCTAACTAAATCTATCTGCTTTACAAATATTTCTTACTAATAGCTACAAACGATACCTGTTTCTCAATTCAATGTCTTTTGTTAATAAACTTTTACCGATATAATCTTTCGGGGAGAAAAACCACCGCAAATCCCGGTCTATTGTTTAAACACTTTCTATATACACTTTTATTCCGGGTAAATCCATTCCACAATAACCGACTTATTTAAATTTCTTATCGATAATATTTGAAAGTCTTGTCTCTGAGGCCTAATGAACAATTCTTCGAACAACTTAAAATACATATTTTGTCTTATACAGGATGTTTGAAAATTTATATGCCCGTGTCTTTATGAAATATCAATAATTTTAATTTTTATTTAAGTAATAAAATTTGTATATCGGTTTTTTATTGCTTATGGACATTCAAAAGTACAACAAATCCCCGCCTTTGTAATCGATAAAATTTATCAATCTATGCAACTAAATTTTCTCGAGGCAAACTAAAACGCACTTCCTGTATGCTAGCTTTACTTATGCTACGTATTATCCTATCCTACTATCTACTTTATACAAATTTAAATCTTCATTCGTGATATTTATATACATCATGGATATTATAAATACCTCTGATCTTTTCAGAATCCATATGTTTCAACTCATAGCTGTTTACTCCATCTTCGTTGTTTACTATGTATGGCCCTTCGAAAACAGGCATCAATTTTGCGCAAATACCGCTCTGAAGATTTGACACTCTTAATGCTCTTACCATTACTTTGTCACCCTTTTGGAAAGTTACTGGTCTTCGTTTCCTATTATGACCCTGTCTCTGGATGTATTTCTCATTGCTTCTTCTTAATCTCCTCTGAACCGTTTCTATAACCTGTCGATACTCTCTTTGTTCTGGATCTTCCCACGGTCTTATCGGCATGACGCCTTTCATGATGTATTCTGGTGTTTCTTTCGTTACTGTACTTGGCATGGAATTTAGGTACATCTCTATTTCTCCCAATTTTCTGTCCCATCGCCGATGTTGACCATCCGTTGCAATGCGAAGAAATTTCGTTACCTCTTGTATAAATCGCTCAGACGGATTACTTTGGGGATGCCTGATGCTTACAAAGTTCGTCTCGATTCCCCGTTCTCTAAGCTGTACCTTGAAACGATCATTTCGGAAGTATACTTTTTTTACGATAAGAATGTGATGACGTCACACAACGATCAGGTGCATCGTTGCCAAACTATTTTTCCATTTCTTATATTCTTCTTAAACACATATAACCTAACTTTTCATTTTCTTCTTTTAAAAACAAGTTGATCACTTTTGATGTTTACAAGTTTACACATAACCTAACTTTTCGTTGTTTTCTTTTAACACTTTTGTGTTAAATTGTAAATTTTTAACTATAAATAATTTATACCCATCTTTTATAACTAATGTTTTATATCTTCGTAAAAATGAAGTTTTATCGGGTACAAATTTATGGTTCCAATTATTTTTAAAACAAACATGATTAGGTGATTATCATAAGAAAACAAAGTTTTTTTCTGAATTGATAAATAGGCCATCAATAAAAGTATGGATACAAATTGTGGAACTTGCAAGAACATTCAAGCATAGAAACTGATTATTCTTTGTAACTTTTGTTACCATTTCAAATTACAACAAACTAACCATTAAGATTATTAAAACAATGACCAGTTATATTTTTCTGCAGTGATTGTGATCTCTTTAAACAAATTCTATTTATAAAGTAGAAAGTGATTTACAGCACGTTCAATGTCAAGAATTTAAACCTAGAAAAAGAACTTTGTTCATGGAGCAAACAATGTGTAACAAGCAGAAGTTTTAAATCAATTGTGTCAAGAATTGTAAATGACAGGCTACCTAACAGGTTGTTCAGTTTTACATAACATTGTAGTTAATAGAAAGAACATGGAAATACTAGCAAATGAAGGTGCTGTTGATATTTTAGTGTAGTATGTTTGATTAAAAACTTTTCATTTATAAATTCTAATCTATATGCCATTAGAATTTTAAAAATTAAACATTTGTTTTATTGTGTTAACCTGTTTATATTGTTAATCCTTTATGTTGGATATCTGTTAAATGGAATAACTAAGTACTCTATTGCACAATATTTTAAGCATATTTGTGCATAAAAATTTATTAAAATTAGATACACCTTATACATCTGTAATAAAAATTTCAAATATACTAAATTTAATAAATGAGTTACAAAGATATTCTATGTCTGATCTGTGATTATTAAACACTTTAAAATATTTAGAAATTACTTATATTTAAATTTATTTTTACAAACTTTTGTAATAACTCAAACTTCAATAAAAGTGTTCTTTTTAAAATTGTTTTGGGTCAAAACATTACTAATCTATATATGAGTATAAACTTTTTTTTGTGATCCATTCAAGTGAGTGGCCCATAAAAAATAATCTAAATAAAGAGACTGGTTCTATCCTTACAAAACAACAATATTTTGCTAAACCATGGAAATAAGGGCAAATATTGTAAAAACAGATAAAGAAGCAGCAACATCTGTTTTCCATTTACTTAATAGCTGTGCTAGACTTTGATTGAGAGTTGATCTTTTCAAAAATAAAACCTTTTTGAGAATAAAAGACACAAAGCGATAATATACAGACAGGTTGAAATGTTTCGGTGTGATTGGAAAACTTTAATTGACTTTATTCGTGTTCTGTC